TTCTGACTTTCCACGGCAGAGTGGCCAGCCCAGAAGGAGTTAAGTAGCGAATGTGGTGGAAGGAGGTGGGGTTGTGGGGTGACCCCCTCTCTGCAGCCCCAGGGTGCTCCTCCTCTGCTGCTGCCTGCCCACATGCCCTCAGCTGCATCACTTGCAGTGACCTACTGACATGGGTTGGGAGCCTGACAGACACTCTCCAACAGATCTCCAGGTCCCTACAATTTTCAGGAAGTGTTGATGCCTTGCCCACATGGGCCATCTTAATTGCAAGGGCCCAAGCATCAAGATCCTGCATGTTCCACCAGGTTTTGAAGGCCTGCAATGGGCTCACCGGGGTTCTGTTTAATGTCCTCTTCTTTGAGAGCTTTGTCTTGGCTTTAAGCATGACCAAAACAAAGACAAGATGTGGTCTTGGAGGGAGCAGAGGCATTCTGTCCCACCCCATTCTGCTGACCACATGAGCACAAAGAACAGTGCTTTGGCCAAGGAGCAGCTGGCTCACTTTCCCTGAGGCTGCTTGGGAAGGGGATTGTGCTTGGCCTCACCTGTGAGGTGTTTGTGTGCAGCATGGTGACATTAACCAGCTGAGTAAAACGTTCAACAAAACCCTCTCCTGCCCCAGAGGCTTCTCATAATATCCTCTCACAGCTGTTTCTTTATCTCCTGAGTCCTCATTTCTTTATCTCCTGAGTCCTCCTCGTCCCACATGGCTGCAGGCATTGCCTTCTTCTCTGCCCCTGCCTCCTGCCAAGGTCCCTTGGCTACAAGGCCTTCCTGCAAACCTGTGCCAGGGAGAGGTAGCCAGAGGGGCACAGGCACACAGCTGTGCTGGAGAGGAGCAGGAGCAGGCACCCAGGGCTCGTGGAGCTGGTCTGCAACACTCAGCTGCTGTACCATTTAGCCTGTGACCATGTAAGTCCTTGACACAGAGATCTGGTATCACTTCCCCTATTCTATAATCCCTCTAGACTGAGGTGAATACCTGTCTCCCATGGCAGCTCTCCTGTCTTATCCTGTTCCCAGGAGCCACCTCTGAAGGGCCCCCAGTCCAGAGTTAGCCCCACTGTGCAGAAAGGATGGAATTTTGCCCATATATTTTCTGTTTGTGTGTGCTGGGACTCTGTTCTCTAGCACCACGAATAAATCTAGAATCCTGTAGCAGCTCCAGGAAACATGAGACATTATTTTTGCCTGTACATTGATTCTTCTCATTTTTTTCTCCACCTTATTGCTGGAGCCTGGTTTCTTTCCATGCTCTGAGAAAATGCCAGCCCAGCATTGAGGAGAACCAATTTCACTGGGTGTGGAATATTCCTGCTCCACCAAAGGTTGTTGCTGTGGGACTTGGAGTGGATGAAAGGACAATTTCTCATCAGTAATACAGAGCTCAACTATTGCTGAAGCATCCTAAAGCCCATTCAGGCAGAGACAGGAGTCCCTAAATCCAGACTCAAAGCTTTGGGGAAGACCCTGACCTCTGCCTGTGCTCACATGGCTGTGGCACTCATGCCTCACCTCTCGTGTTCTGGCCCCTTTCTTTTCCCAGCTTTCCAGAGTTCACAAAGGACTCTCATATCCATCAAGCTAACTGAACACAGCATAAACACCTAAACAGCTGTCTAAAGGGTAAACCTGGAAACAGCAGGATCTCATAGATCTCATTCCTCCGTCGGGAGGAAGAGCCATGGCCACAGAAGGTTGGGGTTTCATGCTCTCGCCTTTTAGCCCAAGTGCTGTGTGCCATTTAACCTGCCCTGGTTAATTCATCCCAAATGCCACTCTCCCTCAGTTCCACGGCAATTCCCAACAGCATTTCCAAAAGCACTGTAGAGCCCCAACAAACCTAAGAATGAAAAAAATCCTTTTCTTAACAGAGAAATGCACTGAAAACAAAAAAAAAAAAACCAGCCTGTCTAGCACACAAGCAAATAAACAGCGATAATGGTATAACTTTATTTAGATTTAAATTGACATTTAGCACAGTAATATGCACAGAAAGAAAAAAGTACCAAAATACCAAACTCATAGCATATAAAATAATCAAATATATTTCATATTTAGTGAAATATTTCTACAACACATCAGTGGGACTACCCTGGGCAGCCCAACCCTGTAAATATATATATTTTTATATTTATAGCTGTATTATATAAAATACTGTATGTAGAGAAAGCACTGAAACTTATCACCAAAATAGAAAATAGCTCAAAATACAGATAGTTCAGGTTTGCTGGATATACCCAATATGGAAAAAAGGTTCAAACCCACTGCAGGAGATAAAGCTCCAGCTGAGATGCTCTGGCAGGCATGGAATGGCAGGGTGGGCACACACTGGATCAGCTGGCAGGAGCCTGGCTGCCAAAGGCCATGAGATGACAAAACCTTCAGATTCTCAGCCAGAACCATCAAGAGGATTCCGAAGAGGGAATGCCGGCGATGCTTGTGGCTGATCCAGGGCCAAAGCGGTTTTGGTAAGTCAGAGCTGCCAGAGCAGCACAACTGCATCCCTTAAGGATCCAGCAGGACTGGCCATCAGCAGATGCACAACATCACAAGCAGATTATTCTGAATTTTAGAGATGCCTCTCCAGCGGATGACAGTGATTCATTCCCTACAGGTTTTGAAAACATAAAAAGCTGTGTTTGTGAGGCCAGGCTCCCCCAGGCAATACTGTGTGGCACGGGAAGCAGCAACCCTGCTGCTCCAAGACAATGACACCAAATGAAGTGCTTCTCCTGGCAAAAACTCCCACTTCCCCTGAGGGTCATCAGGGGTTGCACTTAGGAACCCAAGCGATTTGTAGACAGGTATAAAAAACATGGCATTTCTGGCAGCAGCACTGCAGTGCAGCTGGAGTCAATAACCTGCACTGGCCATGGCCCGGGCGTGTCACTGTCATATTTTCTGGAAAAATCCCTTCTCCCAGGATTTTGCTCCTGGGAAGATGAGAAGCCTCAGAGAAAAAGGAAAACAATATTATCTCATTTGCTTCTCCTGTGTTTTGCTCCTTTGGAATGTGGTTTGGAGGTTGTTTACCAACAGGTGATTGTTTCATTGGTTTAGTGTGAATTGTTTTGACTTATTGGCCAATGATGACCAAGCTGTGTCGGACTCTGGAGAGAGAGTCACGAGTTTCATTAATATCTTTTAGCCTTCTGCCTGTATCCTTTCCGTAATCTTTAGTATAATTTAGCTTAATATTCTTTAACATAACATAGATCATAAACTAATAAATTAGCCTTCTAAGAACATGGAGTCAGATTCACCATTCCTCACTTCGTCTGGGAACCCCGCAAATACAGTACGGGCACTGCGGGGGCTTCAGGCTGGTGCTGGGTGGGCAGGGAGAGGCACAGCTCCTGGTGGCAGGGACAGCCAAGGGCACTGCATCTCCTGCTTTCCAGACAGCACACTTCTGTGCTCGTTTGTTGCTATTTGACCCGGTATAATGATTGATTCACTTGACTACCCCCACAGGAAGGCAGCCAAGTCTTGCCCAGAGTTTCCCTGCTCAGAGGGTTTTGAGCCCCCGCACTGGTGCCAACTCCATGCTGGGAGATCATCCTGGGAGCCCTCCCAGACCCTGTCCCTGTGCTTCTGCCACACCACTGCAAAGAAGCCTGTAACCCATTAATAATTCTGCAATTGCTCTTTGTCATCAAGCCAGCAGTTGCATCCATAATTACATGACAACAATACTATGCTAACAGGATGAGCTATAATTCCTAGGTGGTATTAACATTGTTATTTTACTCTGAGTAACTTCCTGGTAATGGCCATTTGAATGTGGCAATATCAATTAAGTGAATATAAATGCTTAGCCCCTGGAAAAATCATTAATAAAAATCTCATTCTGATAGCCTCTAATCTCAGCTAAGTACAATTACTCATATGAGGCCACTATAAAAAGTATTTTTCTCATCAGAAGAAATTCATAAGGTTTTCCCAACTGTTTGTAATAAAGAGGACACAATATAGAAAAGTCCAGAAAATAAGCACACATTTGTTTCTCAAAACCCATAGATAAACATGACAATATCTCTAAATTACTGGCTACAAACAGGATTTCATTTAGCTCTACTCAAACTGTAGCCTAGTGTAAATGTTTTCAAAGCAGCACGTTGCTGTTTCATCTGGAACAGCTGCACAGGATTTCTTTGATATCAAGCTCCTGCGTGGGGATGATGTTTCAATTTCTCTTTATGCCTCCAAGCTGCTGAAACTGGAAGGAAAAAACATTTAGTAAAACAGGTGCTTTTCGTGGAAAAGAAAAAAAAACTTGTAATTTGGCCTTGAAAGCAGTTCTAAGAAATAATTTATCAGTGCAGTGGTAACAGAGGCACGCTGTGCCTGTCCATCTCTGTTTCAAAGGAGACAGGGAGCCCAGCCTGTGTTCCTGCATGGCTCCCCATGCAGTGCCTGGGAGGAGGGGTTTGCCCTGCCTGCAGAGCCAGCCACCACGGCTACACACATTTAAGAGGTGCAGCACACATTTATCTTTCTTTAGTGAGATAAGGCTGGAAAAATCTGGGACACCAGGAGGAGCTGGCAGGAGGGCTGCTGGGGTAATGGGGAGGAAGTGGCAACACCATTATCTCCAGGCAGGATCTCTCTCTCAAACGTTTATGTGGGTTTGTTGGCTTTGCTTCATAAATATTTTCCAGACAAAAAATTGTTTGTGGATGCTGTCAAAGCAGCCTCAAGGAGTCTTTCTGGTGACCTCCAAAAAGTACATTTCCTAAGGCATTCCCCTGTGCATGTCTTGTCAGACACCCACTTTGATGCACAATGCTTACTAGGAAAAAAAACAGTAAAAGCTGACAAAGGCTGCCGAAAACTCGGGACTCCATTTCAAAATTTGATGAGCTGATGCAAACAATTTCTGCCGGGGCCATTGACCTCTCGTTCACCTCCAGCAAAGGGTCTGGCAGCTCTGTGTGGCCCTGCCAGGGGCACTGCCAGCAGGCTGAGGGATGCACATGCAGCTCACCTCCCCAGACTTACTGCTCTCCTGCCTCAGCACTGTCAGCGCCCACAAACGGGATTTCTTCCCTGTCCATCTGCCCCAGAACCAGGTGGTGCTTCTCCATGTTTATGACACACTGCAGAGAATAAATGTCTTTAGGTAAGAGGGAAAACTGCAAGTTAGGGTGGTCCCAGCTCTCCCATCAGCATCCTGCTGGAAAACTCCTACCTTCAGAGACTTCAGTGTCTGCAGCCCAAAGGAAAAGGGTTGGTCGTTGTCTTCTGAAAAAAACAGGACATTTCAGATTTATACATCCAAAATGCCCTCCTGGGCTTTTTGTCAGTGACTCCATCCTTCCTTTGTGGTTGCTCTGTTAAACAAAGCCCTGTTTATAAAGGGACTGACTCAAAGGAGAACAAGAGGGCACAGGAGGGCAGGAGGGCAGGCAGATGTGCCTGCAGTGGTTGCTCCATCAGCATGGCAAAGCCAAGCTTGTGAACACATCCTCCCCCTTCCCGCTGGGGCACAAACAAGAACTTGCTCTATTTGGATTTTAACATCTTCCTAAAGCTCTGTTTTCCTGCTGGGGTGAGAGGAAGCAGACCCCAGCCCAGGGTGGAGGAGCAGAGGGTTGTGCACTCACCCACGACGAGGGCAGCACACTCCACAGGGATGGCTCCCACTGTGAGGGACAGACACTCAATCTGCCCAATGGCTTTCACCTTGTTTGGCAAGGAAACCATCTCCTCTTCCACAGGGAGTGCTTTGAGATGCTCCTTTAACCTGTGGACATTGAGAACACTCCTAACATCAAATGGCCATGGCTTGGCTGTTCCAGCAAGGAGCAATGGTGCTTGGAGGGTGCTTACAGCTGAAGTGCTCTTGGCTTGCTCATTTGCCACACTGCTGTTGGAAAGCTGCTTCCATGGCAGGTTCTGTGTGGGTGCTCTGCAGACCACAGCATGACCCACAGTGCTGCCCAAGCACAGTTCTGTGATGCATTTTGGGTTTTACCAGGGGAATATTTTTCCTACATTTTCCTGAGACTCGGGGAATACAGAATTGCTTCTAATGCAGTGTGGGTGTGAGGAAGGGTTAGCTCACTCCAGCTTCCACGAGTGGAGCTGACACTGTGTCCCCATGGCATCACAGACATGCTGAAGTTGGAACAGACCTCTGAGGTCATCGAGTCCAGCTGTGTCCCCAGGTGCCACACCCACACATCTTTTGAACACTTCCAGGCATGGTGGTGCCACCACTTCACTAAGCAGCTTGTTCCAAGGCCTGACCACCCTTGCAGGGAAGAAATTTTTCCTGATACCCACACTAAACCTCACGTGGCACAACCTGAAACCATTTCCTCTGGTCCTGTCACTCATTACCTCACTTGAGCCTCCTTTTGGGCAGTTGTAGAGAGCAATAAGGCACCCCCTGAGTCCCCTTTTCTCCATGCCAAACACGGCTCACGTCCAGGGTGGCCCAATCCGTGTTTCTTAGTTTGTTAGGTGCTGCTGCTGCCTTTGTTCTGAGGAAATGGGGACAGATCAATCACATTCAGCCCAAAGAAAAGAAAAAAGGACGTCAGAGATGCCTCAGGTACAGTTTCTATCTACACCCTTTGAAGCAGTCTGACAATACTAATTAAATATTTAGCTTCAGTTTCTCTTTTAAACTGAGCAAGAATCTAATGGAAAGGCCGTTTGAGGTGCTGATCTCTCTCTCAGATAAAAGCCAGATCAAGTTTCAGCTATTTGAGGTAGCTTTATGCTGAGCCGCATTGCAGCAGTGCTTGTGTCTGTCTGTCTGTCCATCTGTCCTGGGGGCCAGCCCCCTCAAAGGCTCCAGGACTGAGGTGGGCATTGCCCACACCACTTAACACAGGCACAAGACCAGTGAGGGGTAGCGGGGAAAAGGAGCTGGATCCCCTCTGCTGCTTTCTTGGAGTCTGGCCTTAAAAATCAGCAGGAACACTGAATCAATCAGAAGTTCGTGAGTTCCTCGGCCGCCTCCTGCACCTCCTACAGCTCCACAGGGGATTTCTCATGCTGGCAAGCTGTGAGCCTACTCCACTGCTTTCCTCAGAGAGAGGGAGAGAATCACTGGCATCATGACAAGACACAAAAAAAATTTGAAAAAGAAAGGAGGAATTGAGCCTGAGCATCAGAGACACAAGTGCCACTTTGAGGCATTGGGTGCCCTGGGACCTGGGCAGCAGAAAAAACAGGCTCTGACCTCTTTCTTCAGTGCTCTTTGAAGGACAGGGCTGCTGCAGCAGAGCAGCGCTGCAAGGACTGCACTGGACACATGTAACAAACACAGGGAGCAGAGGAACTGTCCCAGAGCATGAAATGCCTCCAAATGCCATCGTGTGGCCAGCCTGAGCTTGCCTGAGCTGCTCCACAGGTTGTGACAAGGTTGTGTTAAGCACAGCCACCTTCCATCACTAAGCACTGTTGTGCAAAGAGGTAATTAATGTTAGGGCAGGAACAGGCACCATTCAGTCAGGGCCATGCAGTAGTGCTCAGTGACCTGGGGTAATTTTATCTTTTTTTCATAATTATTGCAAGTTAGCTGCAAAAAGCAATGACTCCATGGGAATAAAGTGCCAAAACCTCCTTGATATCCTGTGAGCTGATGCCTGGTCCTGTTCCTCAGAGATGACAGAGAGTTGTGCTGCAAATGGCTATCAGTCACCTCTAATAATCCCTAAATACCTTTCCTTTTCTTCCAACCAGGGGAAATTTGTAATTGCGAGGAGCATCAGACACCCAATTCTGAGAACATGCATGCACACAGCTTCTTTACTTTGGAAAATGTAAATACATTCCTGGGCCAGCAGGCTGGGGGCATGTCCAGCAGCTTGTCCCTGCCCTGCCACGGGAGCCTGCAGAGCTGGGCTGGGCTGCCCTGGGGACACAGAAGGCTGGGGAAGGTTCAGCTGTTTTGTGAGGCACTGAGTGACAAGCAGGCAGTGAAAAAACACAAATGCATCCAACCCTCTGAAGGGATTCCCTCAGAGGTGAACAGAGTGGCGCCCTATTCTATTCCGCCTCCCTGCCATTTAAGGCTGGGACAGTTTGGTTGTCAGGGGCTTGCCCAGCCCTTCTAGAACAACCATCAGTGAACCCTATTCCATTCCGCCTCCCTGCCATGTAAGGCTGGGACAGTTTGGTTGTAACAGGAGGGTCAGGGGCTTGCCCAGCCCTTCTAGAACAACCATCAGTGACATGGGCAGAACCCCAGCCCCAGGACACTGCCTGTGCTGCCAGGTGCCATGCTCCTGCAGAACAGAAATCCAGCTGGATATTTACCCTAGCCTGTCCAGGCAGGCCGATGACATGAGGTTGTGCTGTGAGCCGGTGTCCACCACGGCCTTCAGCTCCTTCCCCGCACACTGCAAGAGCAAGAAGAGATGGGAAATGATGTGTGGGATGCAGGATGAGCACCAGAGTGTCCAGGAACTCTGGTGCCCATGAGCTCTCCTCATGCCAGCTCATCCCTGCTCCCCTGCACGCTCAGATGCACATGGGGTCCTGAGCCCTTCCTGGCTCCTTTGCCCCTGCAGAGAGCAGATGGGGCAGCCCAGGAAGGAGGGAATGCTGTGCAGAGTGGGAAATACAAATGAGCATGGGGCTAAGGAATAGAAATGTGAAACTGCCCTTGGGCAAAGAAAATAGGGATGGCACTTGAGGAAAACAAGCAGGCTGTGAGCACAGGGATTTGCCATGGGATTATACCCCAGCATTTCAGCACGCTGCCCCAGCTTAGCTGTCCCCTCTGCCCCGGTGTGTAAGGGAAGACACCCATCACACCAGTTTTCTCTGTGATTCCCAGGTGGGCATCTCTGCCACAGCAGCCCCAGAGCTGTGACAGTCCCGTGGGAGCACGTGTTTCCTGACTGGGAAACATGGAGAATAAGAGCACAGCCTGAGACTGTGGGGAAAAAAAATCTGCAGCAAAAAAAAACCACAAAAGGCTGTGGAGGGACTATTACCTGGCAGCTCACCACTATGAGCTCTTCATCCTCAGTTTTGCCCGAGCTGCCCAGTTTGGTTTGGTTCAGCTTGTTGGTCTGTGATGAGAGATCACCCTTGGGAGCCCAGCTGCCTCGGCTGCCTCGGAACTTGGATAAATTTGTCTCCAGCAGGCGCTTCTGCAGGATGTTGTGTGGTTGCTTTAGGGAAGAACGCACACAGAAGAGCAGGGTCAAGTCAGAGGAAAGCCACACCATGGCCTGTGCCACCAGACTGCCTGTGGTGCCCAGGGGCCAGCGCTGCTCTCACAGGGGGGAGGCTGTGAAGTCCCGCTCTCCCTAATTCCCAGACTACAGCTGTTCTTCCTAGCTACGTCTGGCTTGCCTGTCTTTGACTAAAAAGAACTTTGTTTTGCAAAGGGAATAATACTTTCAAACTATTAGCCTTTGAGACCTTGGAGGGACCTTGGAGGGATGCCTTTCTTTTACCAAAAATTCAAGCTTTGATTGCATATAGGAATCCAAACAAGTCCATCCTTTTCAAGCTGGTGTTTCAACACCTTTGAGACCTTGGAGGGATGCCTTTCTTTTACCAAACTCAAATTCAAGGTTTGATTGCATATAGGAATCCAAACAAGTCCAGCCTTTTCAAGCTGGTGTTTCAACCACAACTGCCTTCATCTCTTGATATTGGGAATTCGGTAGTGGTGCAACAAATCAGCTTTCCAGTGATATTCACCACCTAAGTGGTAGGTATCCTCCCAGAATTCCCAACACTTCTCTCTTCCTGTGTTATTTCCATTTGCTCTGGGAGAAGCATGTTGCCTCTCAAGATGGTAGTGATGTAACAAATCAGCTTTCCAATTATATTCACCACCTAAGTACAAAGAAAGTCTACAATTGCCCTCTGTGCCTTTTTCCCCCTCTACTTTTATTTAGCTGCTAAATGGAACCAATCCTGAGTGCCATACCACAAGAGGAAAGGGAGAGAAAGGAAAGAGGTAAGGTCATCTGAGGCAGGTAGGTATCCTCCCAGAATTCCCAACACTTCTCTTTTCCTGTGTTATTTCCATTTGCTCTGGGAGAAGCATGTTGCCTCTCAAGATCTCCTCCAACCTCTTTCCCAAAAGCCTTTTTATGTTTAATGTTCATTGCAGATGGATGCACACACTCTGCTGGAGGTGAAATGAGTCTGCCTGATTATCTGCTCATTTCTCTGCCCGGCTAATCTGCCCTCCCCATTAATGCCATTCCTTCTGATTTTAATTTCTCCATGGTGAGACATTTTTACTGGCTTATCCCTGAATTTTTGCATTATGTTAAACCTGCCTGTGTGTCTGCAGAGACACCTGAACCAGCAAAGCTTCTTATCCCAAGGGAATATCAGAGCCAGGATAACTTTGAAAACCCCAGAACGTGGCTCCCCAAGTTGGCCAGTGCCCACCCTTGTGCACAGCATGTTAAATAACCCCACTTCCAAGAGTCTGATGGAGCCTGGCACCATCCTGAAATAAGTGCAGCCACGCTGGTGCTCCAGACCGCGCTGTGGGCAGCGCAGGCAGCAGAGCTGGGCCAGACTGATGGGCTGGGGCAGCTGCAGCAGCACCAGCGGTCACCGGGACACACCAGCTCCTTGCATCCGCACTTTCCACCCTCCTGGTTTCTGCTGCTTGAAATAAAATCCCATGGCCATTTTGGGTTGCAGGTGCTGTGTCTGACCAGCCTGCTACAGAGCACGTCCTGATTCTAAGCAGTAACTCCTGGTGGGGAGGAATCAGATCTGACTCTGTGCTGCCTTCCCAGTGAGGCCAAACTGCAGAAACCAGTATTACTTAACTGGACTAAAGGCAGGCAGGCTGCACTGGTGCTGGGCCCTGTGTGGAGGGACAAACAGATCAGCTTGGAAGGGAGGGCTCCATTGTGTGAGGCAGAAGCTGTAGGTGCACAGTGAGCACTGTGATCACCTCCAGCCCTGTGATCACCTGCAGTGCTCCTCACCAGAGCAAAAATTCAGGCCAGGGTTTTCTGACAGTGGATGGGATGTTCTTTTCACCCTTTAGGTTTGGCTGCAGCTCAGGAACACAGCTGGAACACTAATTCTTCACATCATTTAAAACAACAAAAGGAAGGATAGGGGAGTGTAGCAGTAAATGACGAGGTTCACCCAGCTGGCCAGAAGACAGCCTGTCACACAGGGGTCACCTCCTTGTGCCCAGCCCCACTCAGGCAGCACCAAGAGAAGTTCCTGAATGCCATCATCCAGGACAGTCTGGGTGCTTTTCTGATCTGCCTGGCCTCAATCTCGAACACACTCCTCACTGCTGCTTTAACTGTCACCTACCATTGAATTCAATCTATTTATTTTTAACTACAAGTTCTCCTATGGATTATTAATCAGTAGCATATATGGGTTTTCTCAAGTCCTGGTTTTTATGAATCTTACATGGGACCCATCACTAAAAGGCAAAAATCCATCACTCAGCAGTCACAAGTTACCAGCACAAATGGGATTGTCTTTTGTTGACACTTGCCCTTCTGAAAACCACAGCAAATTCTGCCTCTAGGGAGACAAATATTCCTTATGTTGTGCTCCAATACAGCAATAATCTGGCAGGAGGGGGCTGAAAAGGTTCCCTGCAGCACCGTCCTGTCTCAAGCTATTAATTAGTTTGCTTTAACTTGGATTTCCCTTGATTCTCGTGTGCACCAGAGTGAGGGATGCTAGTCACGGAGATGACTCAAGTGATGGATACGTACTTGGTAGATGGATAATGTGCCAGGGGACATTTGCAAATGCACATTTTGCTGGCAAACTGCAAGCAGACCGTGTCTGGGAGGGAGGGAGAGGAGGAAAACCTCCTCCCTAGAGCAGTGGGGAAGGCAGCTGTGTTCTCCCTCCAGTGTGGGCCTGGCAGTGCTTGAAGAAACCCAGATCACCTGGTACAATATTCCTTTGCATTGCAAAAAACTGTTGAAAGTTTTATAAAAGTATAGAATGTTACATTTCATTGTGTCAGCAAGAAAATAAGTTTTCCTTGTATCATTCAGCAATACGTAAATACAAATCAGAATTTGTTTCATAAGATAGGTCAATTTCCAACCCCAAGATTTGCAAAAAGCTATGATCCCCTAAAAATGTCACAGTGAAAACCTAAAGTGAGTGGAGACACTCTATTGCTGACCTTATTTACCACTGTCTGTCAAAACCAGAAATAATCCTGCCCAGCTTTGTTTCTCTGTGATTTGTAAGCAAGTGCATTGCTGCAGCTTGCAGTGTTCATTTCTCTGACAGGTTTTTTTCTATTTGGCTTCTAGATCTGGGAATAACAGGACCCTTCAACAATTTCATTGAGGTGGAGATGAAAGTCAGGGAAGACACTGGCTCCCCTCCTCCACAAACCCATCTCTGGAGGTTTGCCCTTTCTTCTGTACCTAGACAGTAAGGGGAGGGGAAAAAGAGTTTTAATGCATCAACAAGAAATAATCAATTTCTCTCTCTTCTTCCCATCCTTCACCCAAACTCACATGTCCCTGACACATGTCCCTCTCCGGGCAAGGCAGAGCACACAGCGTCACAGCTTTTTGCATTCCAGGCAAGACACACCAAACTGGGCATGCACAGCAGGGGACTGGGGACACTTGACCGTGCTGCAGCTCAGCCAGTGCTGCCCCAGCTATGGGGAGCTGGGGCTGGGGCCATGGGGCACCCAGGGTTGGCTGAGGGTGCCCAGGGGAGGTCTGAGGGCATGATGGAAATGGGAAATGCTTTTGTTGCTGTTGCTGCTTTTGCTACTATTTAGAACTTTTCTTCCCAGGTTGTCAAATGATGCGGGACTGCTCCAGACAAAGCTGCTCCAAACTGGGCTGGTGGCTCTGGGGGCAAGGGACAAGTGTCAGAGCACCAGGAGGAGCTGCAAGAGCCAGCACAGCCTGTCCCAGCTGGGAAGGGGGCCATGGTTATCCTGTCAGGGAGCCCCCATCCCAGATAAACACCATCTCGTGCCAGTTTTTTGGGCTTCAGGAAAAAGGCTAATAGAGGGAAGAGGCATCAAAACAAAGCCATTTCTGTTCTCTATATCCAGCATAACATTTGCCTAATTCAGTGTATGCTTTGCTATAGCTTGGTGTCATACTGGACAGAAGGGAGTACATAAAGGGAGTGAGGAGCTGGAGTTCTGTCTGAGCCACAGTCATTCACTGGGAATGATGACACATTGGAATGGATGATCACAAGAAGTATTTCTCAAACCTGCCTGTGCACAGCATCGCCAGGAGAGCTGAGTGATGGCACACGGATGGGGGATGCCAGCACACCCACCCTGGTGACCTGCTGCAGCTTCGCTGTGCTCAGTACCCCCACACCAGGTCACAAGGAAGGGGATTTCTCCCCAGAAGTGCAGTGCTTGCTGCCAGCTGCCACAGTGACAGACAGGATCTGTTCTCACCACCTGTCGCCATCTCTGAGGAGCTGTTCCCTCGTCTCTGCTCCTGCCAAGGCTGTTGGAAACCCCCAGGGGAAACCCTGCATTAATAGGGCCGGGCACGCCAGGAACCCCTCCACGCACGTCACCACGGCTGCCACACAGCTCTGGGCACAGGAACCTGCTGCTGTGGGGGGACACCACAATCATCCTCAAGGAAGCCATGCAAACACCTTGGGCCAAGAGCTCTGATGCCCTGGGCCTCCTGGTCACGCAGCTCTGTCCCTCTGGGCCTCTCAATTTGGGGCCACGCCAAAGTGAAATCCCATATTCTGGAGGGTGTCCAGTCTCAGAGGTGCACAATCTCCCACTCCTCCTGGGGACAGCCCTCGTGACATCCAGGTGTGACATCCAGTGGGGACACACAGTGCATCCTCTCAGCAGTGCCCTTTCCCACCCTGGCTGTGTGAGGGGTGAGTGTGGCAGCATCACTTCACTGCAACACGTCTCTGAAATTCATGGGTCCTCTCTGCAGCTGTGGGAACAGTCCAGTGCCAGTGCTCTCACTTTGGGGACTCCCTGCACATCCCACGGGGCAGGAGGCTGTGGCCAAGGGAGCCCTGGCCACATGTGCCACCACCCTCACTGTGGCATGGGGACAAGGGGCATTTTGCAGTGGGGTGGCCCAGCTGGGGTCTCACCCCACTCCAGCAGCCAGATGGGCATCTCACCTCTGCCACATTGCACCTTCTTTTTTGTTCTTGGAGGGGACTGGGAGCTGTGGCCCTTCCCAGGGCCTTGGCACATCCCTGGAGAGAGCCCTCTGTGCAGATCCCC